AACTTCCGAGGGAGACAAAGTGCTTATTACCCACACCTGATGTGATTAGGATCTAGAAAAAGCCATCTGAGTTATCCGGAATGTGCTGAGTCACACCTCGTGGTGTAAAGCAGCGGTCGTTTACCGGGATTATCTTCCGTGGCTGGAGGGTTGGTGGGTTCAGCTGGGCTGTCCTCACTCCGGTCTTTCAGCCAATCCGTAGCTGGGGCCGGAGCTGTTTCCAAGGCTTCCTCGCCCGTGTGTGGTAGATGATGGCTGTCATCTGGGTCCAGGATGGGCCACATGATTCGCAGAGTTCAGGGCAAAATGAAGACGTGGGCCCTTTGTTCAATAATTATTAAGAATTCCAAGATGGCAGAGTCCTTCTGAGCTGGGGGCCCTGGGCGACTGCATGAGCTGTACCCCAGTGAGGCCCATCCCGTCTGGGTCTGCAGTGGGGTCTGCAGCCTGAGTAACTGCCCACGGTCTCTCCATGGGGCGTGGACTTCCTCACACCACGGCAGCTGGTCCAAGAGTGAGCATCAGAGAATTACACTGTGTCATCTTCCGTGACCTAAGCTCCGAAGAAACTGAGCATCCTGTCTGCCACATTCTGTTCCTTAGAAGTGTGCCATTAAGGCTATATTCAAGGGAAGGAGAATTATAGTCCAGCTCCTGATGGGAGAAGTGTCAAAGAATTTGTGGATGAGCTTTTAAAAGCATCATAGGAGGGTCAATGAAGGTTGGCTGGGCTCTGGTGCATTCACTCAACTCTACTTTATTTTGGTTGGGGGGCGGTGTGATCTCTAATCTTCCTGCATGACTATGGACATGTTACCGTGCCTCTGGGCCTCAGTTTTTCCCATCTGTAAAATGGGATGACAATGCCCACTTACCGCTCTGCAGTAGATCATATGGAATAAGAAACAGGAGACTCCTAGGCGGACCTGGTGTAGGTGGGGGTCCCTGCAGTAACCTGTGCACTGGCTTTCTTGTCCCACGTCTTTCTTTCCCGCTGGCACCCCTTTCTTTGTTTCCTGACCGGATCCAACCCTCCTGGCAGGATTTTAGAGCCAAGATGCGTGGAGTTTATGGGCGTTATGACGCTCGGCTGCTCACGGACACCACCCTGTCCCCGGCTGTCCCGTGCTTTCTCGCCCAGGTGAGCACTGGGGGTGGGGCGTAACACCTGTGACAAAGGTGAAGAGACCAGAGACCAGAGGCTGGCTGAGAACTCGGGTCTGAGAAGGGAGTGCTTGCTGCCTGGGGAGTGGGAGGGTGGCCCTGAATCTGACCTGGACCTGCCTGAAGCAGACTCAGGGAACCACAGTGTGGTGAGGGGCGTCTCATGCTTTCTGAATAATTCTCTTGAAAGGCAGCGGAGGAAGTATGGTCCCCAGCCAGACTGCCTGGGTCCAAACCCACTGCTCCCAAGCTGTGTGACCCTGGGAAAGTTCCTTAACCTCTCTGTGCCTTAGATTCCTCACCTGCAAAGTGCGGCCAGTGATAGTAACTCCCTCAAAGGGCTGTGGTATTAGGCGAACACATCTACCCGAGACATTTAGGAAACAGTGCTCGTCACTGTCATTATTATTACTGCTGTTGTTGTGATGATGATGATGATTTTGTTACTGTTGTTGTTATGTATTTCTTTTATTTAGAGCACCCAGAGCACCGTACGGAGCCAGAGAAAAGAAGCAGCCAGTGAGGACAAATCGGCCGAGGAGGACCCCGTGGAGGACCTCAGGGGACAGGGAAGGGGCTCCATCGCTAGGACGAGAACTCCCCAGTCAGGAAAAGGGGGCTGAGGCTGGATGCTTGGAGGCTCTGCCGTGTGCAAATTCCATGTCCTCTGAGTCCCGCTTTCCTCATCTGTCTGGCAGGAATCACATCACTCAGCTCACAGGCTGCTCTGGGGATCAAGGTGCCCAGAAGGACAGCTGGTACATGGCAGGTGTTCAATAAACATGGGTGCATCTCACCCTGACTCCTGCTGGGTCTCATTTCCTGTCTTATGACTGGGCTTCTGGGTGTTTAAGCCCGTGTTAACGTGTGTTACCGAACCAAACTCGGGTCCATTTGCCTGCGTGCGGTAAAGCCAATTTACTGACACCGGGTTGTAGTGAAGGAAAGGGCAGGATTTATTGCAGGTGCCAAGCAAAGAGTCCAGGCAGCTGGTGCTCAAAAGGTCCCAACTTCCCGATGACTTTCAGGAAAGGTTTTTAAACACAGGGTGAGGGAGAGAGACCGTGGGGTGCGTTATCAGCTCTTGGACATTTTTCTTTTATTCTTTTTTTTTTTTGGCTGCACCGTGCGACTTGTGGGGTCTTAGTTCCCCAGTCAGGGGTCGAACCTGGGCCCCCTGTAGTCGAAGTGCAGAGCCCTAACCACTGGGCCACCAGGGAAGTCCCTTGTGGACATTCTTCTGATTGGCTGGGGGTGAGGTCACTGGGCCAGTCCAGTTAACTTCTTTCACCTGTGGTGTTTCCGTACCTGCAAAACAGCTCAGAGGACGTGGCGCACAATATTATCTACAGCCCTTGAGGAGGAACTAAAGGTCCTTGGCTTTGTTTAATGGCTGAACTCTTATTATGTTGTCCTGCTTGACTATTTTCCTTAGCTTCTGCATTTTCTCATTTCTCTGATTAAATTTATTCTTTGGAACTCGGGGAAGGCCTCGGAGGCTAAAGTTTTTCTCCAAACAAGAGTCAGGTGGAGGACATTGGGTGGGTCTGTCCCGGGAAAGCCCCGTAGAGTCCTTATTGGTTGGAGGTGAATCATCTCCCAGGGCTGCCCTAACAAAGCACCACACACTGGGGGCTTCAAACCACAGAAATCTATTCTCATTCAGGCTGGACTCCAAGATCAAGGTGCTGGCAGGTCTGGTTCCTTCTGGGGTCTGTGAGGAGAATCTCCGGGTGGTTCCCAGGCCATCCTAGGTGCTCCTTGGCTTGTAGACACATCACCCTGATCTCCACCTTCACCTTCACGTGGTGTCTCCCTGTCTGTGTCTCTGTGTCCAAATTTCCCCTTTTTATAAGGACACCAGTCATAGGATCAGGGGTCCACCCCATTCATCCTAACTAAATATATCTGCAAAGACTCTCTATTTCCAAATAAGGTCACATTGTGAGTACTGGGAGTCAGGACTTCAACACATGAGTTTTGGGGACGCAATTCACCCAAACCATAGGGACGTGATGTGCGGGGATGACCTTGGGACCAGGAACACATCACAGAAGTGGAGGAGGGGTGGGGGTCCGCAGGCTCGGCCGCCTGCCTGCCTGGGCCCCCTGGGTGTGCACATTTGGGGAGCAAATTCCTGACAGTGGCTGGGGGCATCTGAGCTCTGGGTCACTCGGCTCTCAGCACACCTCCTGCTGCCTCCTAGAGACTTCTGCCAGGGAGAGGACGTCCTGCAGCCGTTCAGGATAAACACTATGCTCTGGAGCCAGCTAGCCCCTGATTTCATTCCCCACTGCGGGTACCATGATTTCCTCATCAGCAAAGTGGTCAACAAAACCTTCCTCGCAGGTGTGGTGAAAAGGGAACCCTCCTACACTGTTGGAGGGAATGTATTATAAACTGGTGCAGCCACTACAGAAAACAGTATGGAGGTTCTTTAAAAAATAGTGTTACCATATAATCCAGCAATCCCACTCCTGGGCATATATCTGGAGAAAACTAATTCAAGAAGATACATGCACCCCAAGGTTCTTTGCGCACTATTTACAATAGCCAAGATACGGAAGCAACCTAAATGTCCATTGACAGATGAATGGATAAAGATGTGGTACCTATATACAATGGAATACTACTCAGCCATAAAAAAGAATGAAATAATGTCATTTGCAGCAGCATGGATGGAACTAGAGATTATCACACTAAGTGAAGTAAGTCAGACAGAAAGACAAATATCATATGATATCACTTACATGTGGAATCTAAAATATGACACAAATGAAC